TAAACTTGTTTTAAGAATATAAATTAGCTAAAATAATTGACAAGAACTAATTATACATTAAAATTATTATTATTTGAGGTCAATAATATTGAAAGTGTGAACTAAATATATAACAAAATTTAGAAGCTTTAAAAAACCGCATTTACTAAAATTTAATAATTTTTTTTTAATTTTTCTAAAATTTAATACATTTGTAAACATAAATATTTAATTTCAACAAACATAATAGTTAATATTTTCATAAATTTAATTAATTACTTAATTTTAGTTAGTACATTTATAAACATAAATAATTAATTACTACAAATACAATTTTAATTAATATTTTTATAAATTTAATTAATTTATTTATTTTCAAAATCTGCTACATTCCGCAAGATTCAACAGTTACCATTTAAATTTAAAATTATTCCGCAAGATTCTGCAAAAGTCACTAAAAATTCTGCAAAATTCCACAATTCTGCAAAATTCCTCTGTTACCATTTATACCCATAATTTAGCTCTTGTTAATTACTCAAGAGTATTTCATTTGTTTTTTTTTCTCAATTCCCCATGTGGTCACTTTCCACAATTCTGCAGAAGTTTACAACTTATACAAATGGTAACATAATTTTTTTTTCCACAAGTTTTCTTCAAAATTCCTCAACATTAGTGTTACCAGTTAGGTCCTATATCATTAAAGCTCATAAAAAGTAAATAAAAAAGTTATAAGGAAAATTGGAATTGAATTGTTATGGGAGCCTGATCCATTTTTTTTTGTTTTATAACTTAGGGTAAATTCAAAGCCTATGCAGGGGCCAAACTAATCCCGAGAGAGGTGCAGTCCACGAATAGACCCTCTCTCCGGATATGCAAATGGGCCGAAATCAAGAACCCATATCTGTGTGAGTGTCCAAAACAATGTGTTTTTAGTTTCGCGTAGTAGGTGTGTGTCAAACTTGAAGTGTGTTAGCACCACAAGCTCTTCTCCTTACCATTTAACCACAAGGCTCCCGACTAGACTAGCCTGATACTTGAATTATGGTATCTAGTTTACAGAAACTGCGGATGGATAATAATGCTGAAATATTAAGCTCTTCTTTGTTTTAGCTTCAAGGTATGGTTCTTCTATATACAAGTTAAGTTACTTAGACAAATTATCTCGAACTATAGTATTTTAGTTGGAAACTTAAGCCTTGATTATTTCAGTCATTTGAATTTGTTTTTACAAGAGAAAAGAAATATGCTGTATTTTTGAAACMAAAAAAAAAAAAACATTTTCAGTTTATGGTAACAACGTGAAGGATGAAGAGGTTCGAGACCTACATGAGCCATATATTCATTTTCACCGTGGATTTTTTTTTTCCTTTTGAAAATCATGAGAAGATACATGTTTTTACCATTGAATTAATCCCCACAAGGTGAATATAGCCATCGAGTAGTACACTTACGAGGTTTCTAATAGGCCTAAAGCGTATTATTTCAACTGGCCAAATAACAGTGATTATATAATTCCACGGTTGAAGGGAATTGAAATCTTGCTTCGACCCACAGAACAATTCATTTCCGAAGTGTTAAATCCAAATATCATGTGTTAAATCCAAAAAAAATTAAGTTTCCATAATAAGATTTTTATAAAAGGCAAGCATTATAAGCCAAACACAAATAAAACAAAAAAAAAATTATATACAAAATAAGTGTAAATACGGATGCAAATTAATAAGACTATTTTTGAAAAATACTATTTTTGAAATGTCATTTTTTTAAAAAGTCACATTTTTGAAATCTTTCTTTTTAAATGACACTCAAATTATATCATTTACTTAAAACATTATTCAGGTTTGAGTTAACTACAGTATTTTGTATTAAGGTTCCAATTTTTTTTGTAGGTTTAGAATGTGAGGATTTAGAGTTCAAAAACTTTTATTAATGGTATCTTGAAAATAGACATCTTATGATGATATTTTTGAAAATAGACACATTAAAAATTAGTGTTTTTGCAATTGTCCCCATAAATAATCAAAATTAATGAAATAATTCATGAATATTTTCCAAATGGATCATGTGGTGCTGCTCTTTTTTTGAATTCTAGATTAGATTCGAGCTTTTGGGGTTTGTTTATATCATTTCTTTTTTGCCCACGCTTGGGGTTTATATCATTCACTATATTTTTGTCCCGCGTCAAACGCAGAAATGCGGGAATAAAATATTTGAAAAAAAAAATTTATAATATATGAAAAAAATCAGAAACAACATAGATCATTAATATATCTTCCATATAGATAAATATATTTATCGTACAAAATTTAATCTGCATGATACATAGATTGAATGTAAAAGTTTTTAATGTAAATCGTATATGTTTAAGTTTA